TTTACAACAGTCCATAACAAGGTCTAACCCTTTTTACATTCTGGCTTCACAAATTCCTGATTATGTTTCCCACCAAAGAATGGCAAGAGGAAATGACCTTTGTAGTAGTTTCCTTTGTAATCAGCATTCTCTGAATTGACCATGCTGGCCTGCACTGCCCTTTGTAAATTGCTTTTATCTTACTTGGGGGGCAGGGGCCAGGAAAGATTTCTTGCTGCGCTCACCAGTGTCCGTGCCATAAAAACTGGGGCCTTTATAGCATATTTCCCAGAAAATGGAACCCCGCTCTCACTGTCATCAGTTGGATTCACAACTCATGGCGACGCTGTCCAGGGTTTCCAAGGCCGTAAATCTTTACAGGAGCAGAAAGCCTCATTTTTCTCCAGAGAAGTGGTTGGTGGAACTGCCAACCTTGATTAGCTTGTCCTATGGCACTACCAGAGTTCCTTAGAAAAGAACATAGGTCCCCTGATTCGGATGCAATTTTTCTCCTTTTTAACACTGGTACACACACACACTCTAAAATAATCAGACGGCAGACCACATGTTAGTTGATTTTTGCTTTGCTACTGGAATTCATAGAGTTTTCCATCAGTTTTTATTTCTCCTCACATTGGAGGGAAAGAAAGAGTAGAAATGGGTGCTAGGGTAGAACAGAGCTGGGATTCCACTGTACATTTATTTTAGAAACTGAGGAGACAGAATATCTTTTCCCAGTCATGCCTGGGCAGAGTATGACCCAGGGCATGGGGAGGTTGTTGTTGTTGTTTACTGCTGTCGAGTCGGTACCAACTCAGGAGCCAGACAAAACGTACAGCTAGCAGTTTTTAATTCTGAATGGTCAGCTCCTGAACACAGCTATTCCTGTGTTCACCCTGACTGGCAGCATGAACATGCTTCTTTTGGTGCTGGGCCCAGGTGTGCCTGGGAGCAGTCAAGTCCAGCACAACTGGAAGCGCTGGCGGAAGGGCTCTGTCTTCCCTGATTGAGAAGGACTTGTAGAGCTGGTAGCAGAGAGCTATGATGAATAAAGCCCCTTTGCTGCTTCTCTAAGTACCTTCTACAAAGATTTCTTCCTTCAGATCCTCTATTTTTAAAAATGCTCTTCTCAGGGAATGAGCCAGTGAAAATCTGAAGAGCTTCCCCTGGGAGAAAGTGAAATCAGATTTTTTTCCTTTCTTCACTTAGTGTCTAAGTTGAGAACCCAAAGTAGTAAGAGACACAGTATGAGGCTGGGGAAGATGGAGGCTTTTTGAGAGTCCACACCTTTGCTGAATGCCACTTTGAAGGGAAAGAAGAAGTCGAATGGCAATTTCCAGGTCATTCTGGGCTGGCCCCTTGGAGGCTCTGGCTTCTGGGTAATGTCCACAAAGGTTACAAGGGTTGTCAAAGATACTTCGGTTTGTAGTTGGGAAACCTGCAGGGGAAAAAGTCAGTGACAGGTCAAAAATTGGTCCCCATTTATATCGGCTCTTTTGCTATTGTTACTATTTTTCTAAAAAAAAAAATTGTACTAAGCAATATATACCTTTTTCTCAGATTGGTCCTATGGTCTGTTGATGAGACACAGGGAAAGCAATTTCTTAGCAATAAATAGTCCATGAGAACTGAGAAGAGTTATAACTACCTAGAGGCTGTAGGATTAGCACTAGACTGTTACCACAAGGTTGGTGGTTCAAACCAACCAGCAGTTCCTTGGAAACCCTATACTAACTCAAAAGCATTTTGCACAACAACAAAGACTGACTCAAAGTTTATCCAGTTGAAGAGCTCCCTGTTATCAGAAATGCCAGCCAGCTAACTGTTCTCAGGCCGCTTTCAGGTCCCTGAAGATTCCAAGCTCTGAAACCATACACATTTCGGTACAAGTCGAAGTAGTATTGGCAATTCTATTCCTTCTTAAATTGCAGAAGAAAATACAAAACGGACTAAAGGAAATGTGAAGAGGTTTATTACTGAAGAATTTTGAATTTTATCTAGACTTTACCTCACAAGGTAAAAAAATACTTGATTTTGTGCCATAACTTAATATTTTTGGACTTTGATATCTTTGGATTTTAACTTACAAGAAAATTTACTCTTAGGACTTAACATTTTCTCCTCCCCAGGAACTTCATAATGGGAACAAGACTTACATTCAATTTGGAGCAAATCTTTATAGTGGACATTTTGAAACATGTTATTATTTCATTTAATCTCACAGCAAAATACCTGAAGAGCTATACTGGTTGAGATGGCTAGTCATACTTTGGGATAGGAAATAACACAGAGAATGAATTTTCAGGTGGGTTCAGTCTTGTTCAGTCGTTGCTTTAATTAATATGCTATTTGACTAAATTCAAAGCCTTTGGAGTGAGGGTAGATTCTAAACTCCAAAATAATAATTGCAAGAGGATACTCAAAGCAACTGTGGTTGGAATTAGGGCAAAGGGCTCATGATGGAAAGGACTGGATTGCATTATGAAGCCCACTGCTGCACACCTCAGCTGCATCTTCAACTTAGTACTTTTGAGTAATAAAGCTGACGTGTTAATCTCTACCTGAGCCTTTTAAAGCGTTTCTACTCAGGCAGGGTATAGGAGTGTCATTGTTGTTGTTAAATGCACCAAGCTCCCTCCGTTGCTACGCTTAAGCCCATGGCTGCTGCCACTGGGCCAATCCATCTCGTTGGGAGGTCTCCCTCTTTTTCGCTGACCCTCCATCCACTTCATCAGGCATGATCTCCTTCCACCAGGACTGGCTCCACCTGATACTATATCTGAAGTATGAGAGATGAAGTCTGGCCATCTTGGCTTCTAGGAACACTCTAGTTGTTCTTCTTCTAACACAGATTTGTTTAATGACCCTGCATAGGGTTTTCAAGGAGTGGCTTGTGGGTTTGAACTGTCAACCCTGTGGCTAGCAGTCCAGTGCTGATCCTATATAGCGCCACACTAGCCTCTTCAACTCATCAAATCAGGGAATTTCTGGAGTTCTGAGGTCAGCCCTATCTAGAACAATCTCTAAGGTAGCCATGAGTCCAGGAAGACAGCCTCTGGGCCCATGTCTACTCAAGTAGCTATTTAAATTCTATGCTGGTTATTAGTCTCTGATAAATTCCAAATGATAACACTTTTTTTGAACAGAGTTGTTCTTTCAGACTCTTGATATATGCTCATCAAGAGCCAATAATACCAGACTTCAGGTCTTCTCTCTGTGTATCTCCAAAATCCCTCTAATCCCACAAGAAACAAATACAAAATTTCCATTTTCACTAAAAAGCAGAGACATTAGAATATGTGAAAACAGAAAGCAAATTAGAGACATCGTTTTGCAGAGGGAAAGGAGGTCAAACCTTCAGAGACTAGAAGCAAACCCTGGAAAGACTCAGTAATGGTGGATAATAGGGAGGTAGGGATGAGGTAGACTCCTGGTTTGCTATTGTAGGATAAGCACTGGACTGCCAACCATAAGGTCAGTGGTTCAAACCTACCAGCCACGCCTCAGAAACCCTATAAAGGGTCTCTGAGTCAGAACCAACTCGATGGCACTTAACAAGAGTCATTTCTAAGGAAAATGAAAATACTAAGTTTCTGAACTTACAAAGGTAAGAATTAGGTTGTAAAGCCAAGGTTGATGCTAAAGCTGTCCTAAGACCTATCATAAACTGGTATGTATTTAACTACAGATAAAAACTGTTCCTATTAATGGAGTTCATAAGCTCCAGAACTGGTGACTACCAAGGAGCTATAGCAGTAACTTATACAGCAGTAACTGTTAATAGCAGTAACTTATACAGCAGTAACTTTAATAGCAGTAACTTTAACAGCAGTCAATAGACTCAGAGACTGATAAATGTGGGTGATGACTGTAATTGATGTTTAACACGTTTATAGAAAACGTTTTTGATGGTTGAAGTCCATCATCATATAGTTGTTAAGTGTCTTTGAGTTGGTTCGGACTCACAGTGACCCTGTATAATGTTTTTGAGGAGTGGCCAGTAGGTAAGTACTGCTGGCCTTGCAGTTAGCAGTCCAGTGCTTCTCCTACAGTGCAACACCAGGACTCCTTCAGTATAGTTGCTGTTGCTGTTCAGTGCCTTCGAATCCCTTCCGACTCATAGCAACCTTGCATTTAAACAGACCGTGTGGTCTAGCGCATTATTTGGCAGCGCCACGACTCCCTCAGTATAGCAGTGCCTACAAAATTTATTTTTAAAGAAATTAGTCTGTGTTATAGTCTGGAACTAAGAGATGCAAATAAAAAAACAAAAAAGCCATCATCACCAGCACCAAAATCCCTAGGGAGAAAAAGGATATAGATTGAATTTACTATATAACAACATGCTAATTTCAGTAAACCAGGCAGGGAGGAGAGACTTAAAAAGGTAATTATGTTGGCTTGACTATAAACAAGCATTGGCTGATAGAATAAAGTGGCTCTCAGAAGTTAAAAAATTATCTTAGTATCAAATAGTTCATAAGACAATCACAACCCTGCAAGGCTTAGTGGTCCATTATGAGTCGGAACCAACCATAAGGCACTTAACAGCAGCAATGAGCCATGACTTACCTGTGCAGATTGGCATTGGTACAGGAATCGGACTCCTGATACCTGAGCTTGGGGGTTGGATTGCAGGCCTACATAAGCCCACAATACCTGGATCTCCAGGGAAACTGGTATGAAACAGCAGGATGTACAATTTATAGCCTGCAAAAGGGTAAAGAAGCATCTGCTTAAATTGCTTGATGATTGCCTTAGTCAGCATGTTTCAAGAAAACATCGTTTTTAAACATTCTACAATAATGGAGAAGGAAAAGGACAGCAAACATGCTTAGAGACAGAACACAAACGTTTACAGATATATGGCCTACTATTGTCCCAAGTCACACACAAAAAAACTAATATTTAAAATGGAAATCACAAATATATACAGGAATAAAGTGTAAGCAAATACAAAATGCTTTATAAGAAATTCTTAGTGAGTGTTGCATGACCAGTGTAAACACCGGAAGAAGAAACAGCAATTGCTGGCTGGGGAGTGTTTTGTGGGACCAAGATGACCAACGTGTGACAGGAAGAAGGGAATTCAAAAGAAATTCAGGCAGAGGGATAAAAGGTGTGCAATAATACAAACTAACCATTTACTGGTTATGACCTTGAGCAGACTTCTAGGCTACAGCGAAGGAGCAGTAAAAGGTTAAGGAAAAACAGACTTTTGGGTTAGATTATGAAGTCCAACTGAGTAGTCTACTTTGAAGACACTGGGGAGACAGGATGGTTTCTTAAAGTGGGAGGAAGGTGAGGCTTTCTGCTCCTATAACAATTTACAGCCTTGGAAACCCTTCACAGGGTCACGTGAATCGGAACAGCTTCAATGGCACTCAACAGCAACATACTTAAAACAAGACTCTAGAATGATGAATTTTAAGATATAGGAAGGACTGATGATGAGGGCAGTGAAGATGAGGAATCAGGAGGTTTCTATGACTTGGCAGATGCCAACAATGCCTTGTGCTTTTCTAGTTTCACAGGTTTTTTATAGCAAGGTTCACAACAGGCAATGATATAGATGAAGTTAGAATAGAGGAAGACATGGAGAAATAATACTGTGGGAAACGTTTACATTTATACTTAGAACCTCAGGAAGAAAAAAGGAATCAAAGATGATGCTAAGGTCAAAGCTTACGTGACTGAAAGGACTACAGTTCTATTAGCAGTTTCTGCTAAATGAAACCTAGAAAAAGGATGAATATGGAGATAATAGGTTTACTTCAGTCATGACAATTTTATGATGATGATGGTGTACTAAAGAAGGAATTCTACTAGGCAAGTGAACATGGACAACTGGAAATTCAGTAGAGAACTCAAGGGTTGAAATACAAATTTTGGAAGTCCTATGCAAAAAGAATGTTTGAAACACTTCTGGAACTGAGGAAATATCTTACTTCCATTTATGATGGAGAGAGCTTCAGGAAGTCAATCAGGAATTCGTGGAGAAAGAGTGTTGACAAAGATGGGGAGGGAGTAACAAGTGAGAGGGCTTCAAAAACTGTGGAAAATGGTATAAAAAATATAATGGAATTTTTCCATGAACTTTTTGTTGTTGACAGGTGCTTTCAAGTTGGTACTGATGCATAATGTCCTCATGCCTAAGAGAACAAAACACTGCTGGTCCTGCTCCAACCTCATAGTCATTGAACTTTTTGAGGCCCCCTCATACAAACCCTATGGAACAAGAGTTCAAAAGAGACAATATGACCTAAGGGAGCTGTAGAAAAGTTTTACCTAAGTTGAACTGAAAAAAATGAGGTAGACAGGTGATACTGAAACTGAGAGAAGATCACTTACTATGGAAACGAGAAACCACAGAAGTAGCAGTGACAGCTGTCATGAAAATACATCACTTAGGATGGATTCTAGATGACAAAACTCGAGGAACAAGGAGTTCAAGATTCAAACAGGCAGCAGGATTAATTTTAGAAAGAGACAGAGAGAGATTTCAGAGCAAAAACATGTTCGTTTGTAGAAAATACAGAAACACACATTAAAAGAAAACAAAAACATTACCCACAGTCTCAACACCAAAGGACAAGCATTACTCTGGTTAGCGTAGTGGTTACGAATCGGGCTGTGAACCTCAAGATCAGCAGTTCGAAACTACCAGCTGTTCCGCGGGAAAAATATGAGGCTTTCTGCTCCCGTAAAGATTTACAGCCTCGGAAACCCTGTGCAGGGCTGCTATGAGTCGGAACCAACTCCATGGCACATAACCATTAATAGTTTGGAATATGTATAATTTTATGCACCCATATTGAGTTGAAATTGTACTATACTTTCATTTTTAATGATTGAGACATAGTCACATACCATACAACTCATCCTTTTAAACGTTTGCAGTTCAAGGATTTTTAGTATATTTACAAAGCTATAACACCAGCACCATTATCTAATTCCAGAACAATTTCATCACCCCATTAGCAATCATATCACGTCTGCCCCCTACCTACCTCTAGCCCCTTGTTGGGTGCTGTGGATTTTATTTCCACTGAAAATGACCCCATGTCACAAGAGTACAAGTGCTACATAGTAGGGCGTCCTCGGCTGCGATCTTTATGGAAGCAGACTGCCAGGATTTTATCCCACGGAGTCACTGGGTGGGTTTGAACTACCAACCTTTCAGTTAATAGCCAAGATGTAACTGTTGTGCCACTACGGCTACTTCAGCCTCTTGTTGTTGTTGCTCGGTGCCAGAGATGGACTCAGTGACAGAATTTCAGTCCCTGGCAACCCAAAATCTACTTTCTATCTCTGAATTTTCCTACTTAGAACCCCCAAATTCTTTTTTATGGCTGAATAATATTCCAGTATATGAACATTCAACTAATAATGTCTGAATTAGTCTGTGAATACTGTCAGATACATTACTGGAAGATGAGTCCCTCAGATTGGAGGGCACTATGGAAGAGTAGCCTCCTCAAAGTAGAGTTGACCATATGACCTGCATATAGTGCAAAGCTTCCAGGACCTTTACTTGTTGATGGGGCATGAGTCAAAACGAAGATAAACATCTGCGAACATCCACCAATAATTGGAACATGGAATGTACGAATCAAGGAAAAAGTGGAAGTTGTCAAATATGAAACAGAACGTAGGAAGATCGATACTCTAGACATTGTTGTTGTTAAGTGCTATGGAGTCGGTTCTGACTCATAACAGTCCTGTATAGGTTTCCAAGGTTGCAAATCTTTGTGGGAGCAGAAAGCCTATTCTTTCTCCCACAGAGTGGCTGGCGGGCCCAAACCATGGACCTTGTGTTTGCATGCAGTCTAGTGCTTATCATATGGAGCCACTGTGCTACCATGTAAAGGGTACATTCATATATATGATATATATATGAATATATCATATATATATTATAAAACAAAACAAAAAACCTCTCCAAGAACCACAGGTGAAATGAACAAGTAGCAGAAATGCCTACATGCCAACCATGAGAAAGACAATGGTGATATGAAAGGTGTGATGTAGCTTATAGAAAAGCTGAAGTGGACTGGTATTGACCTTTTTAATCTGACCATCATGTGGTTTACTATGCTCTGAATGACAAATTCAAGAGAAAAGTCATCGCATTCATTGTCAAAAAGGACATTTCAAGAGCTATCTTGAAGTACAATGCTGTTTGTGATATGATAGTATCCACTCGCCTACAAGGAAGACTAGTTAATACCACTATTATTCAAATTTACACACCAACTACTGAATTCACTGATGATGAAGCTGAAGAATTCTACCAACTTCTTCAGTCTGGAATTAATCAAACATG